TGCTAATACTTGGTATTTAGCATTTTTTTGTTCTCGTATTGTTGGTAATATAATATGTCTAATATGAGTAGGATATTGTTCTTTTATTTCTTCATAAAAGTTAAGATTTACATTTGTTATATCCAATATACTTCTGGATACACCATATTCTTGTTTTGGTTCTGATTCAGAATCTATTTTGGTTTTGTGTTCAGCTAGATCTTCTAATTCAGCTTCTTGTTTTGCATTTTCTATCTATGCTTGTGCTGGATCTTTGTATTTGTATACTTCTCTCCAGTCATTATCTGTTAATGCTGACCATCTTGTTGGTACTGGGTATAGGACTTTTTGTCCTTTTCATTCAGATTCTATGGCTCGTGTCTATTTAGTTTCTTTTGGTTCATATTGTAAGGTTGATCCTCCTGCCTTATATTCATCATTTGGATTATATAATTTTCTCTGTTGGTGGTAATTATATTGACTATAATCATTATAGTTATTTGTATCTTCTCGAATATAATCGTCTAGTTCAGCCATTTGTTGTATATCTTCTGGTGTTAATTGTTCTTGTTCTGTTTGCCTGAATAGCTCTTGTTTTCGTAGATTTTCTTTTCTGAATTGTTCTAGTCTTGGATTTCTTACTGAAAATTGATTTGAAAGTTGCGATCTTTGTCTTTTATGACCATATTTTGGTAATACTGGTTAGTTGTCATTATTATTATCATCTTTGCTTGTTGGTGCATAAAGACTACTTGATTCTGATATTATATCTGTTGGTTGTACTTCTTTTACTAATGGTGATGATTTATGTTGATGTTGTTTAGAGTGAGATGATTGTGTTGATTGCAATGAATTTCTTCTACTTAACATTTGTTGCGCTGCACTTAAAGTGCCCTATACTACTACTTTTGCTTTATCAAAAAAGGTTGGTAATGTTGACATTGGTGAACTTGGTCTTGTTGTAGTTCTTGATATTGTTTGTTCTGGTATTTTTGAATATTAATTTTTGTTTTGTTTATTTACCCATTCTATTGTTCATCCGAAGTTGTTATCTAGTAGCCATCTATCTTCTAGTTGTTCTATTTCTCGTGGTTCATTTATTGTTAGTCGATATTCTTCATGATATAGATGTTTTGGTGGTAATGTTTCTGGTAATTCTAAGCTTTTGTTATGGCTGTATTTGTTCTTAGAATATTTGCTCTTCTTTGTCTTCATCATCATGTATTTTGTCTAAGTTTTCTAATAACACTCCTAACAATTCTCTATATTTTGCTTGGAATTGTTCTCGTAGTGGTTCGCTTTCACATAATTCTATTTGTCTAGCGAATCTTTCTATTAGGATTCGTTGTTCATACTCCTCCATTGCTTCAAAGTCTTTTCTGTCCAAGGTTAGTGCTTGGTTAGTTGCATATCCATATTCTTCTTCTAAGTCTTTTACTAGGTCCCTATTCTTCCAAAGAATAGCATCTTTTGTTTCTGTTAATGCAGATATTGTTTTGTATAGATAGGCTTTTTTATTCTCTGCCATTTCAGCTTCTAATATTTTTCTATTTGTGACTTTTTCAATTTCTCAGATGTGTTCATTAGTTTGTTGCTTTGTTAATTGGAAAATATATTTATAATTTGTTTTTATGCTTTCTAATCATTGTTTTAATTGCCTTAATCCTATTCTAACTTTTGAATCTTCTTGTTCTTTTTCTAATTGTAAGATCCGATCTAATTGTGACAATTGTGTCTTAATGAATGTTCCTATCTTTGGTGTTTTGACTTTGCTTTCTTCTTGTTGATTAAAGGTAATATTTAAGCTTTTAGCTTTTCCTTTCTTATCTTTTTTAGTATTGTCTTTTTCTATTACTTGTTTTCTAAATTGATCTATTTCTCTTTGTGCAGCTTCCAGATAGAGTTGATTCAATTTCTTTTCTTGTTTATTTTGTAGTGCTTCATGTTCTGCTGCAACTGTCATTCGTTTTACTTGTTCTGCGAGTAATGTTACTTCTTGGTCATCAAATTCCATTCCCAATAAAATTGTTATTCCTGATAATCCTGGTCCTTCATATTGATTTCTATATTCTTTTAATTCTTGGTCCTTTCCTTTAGACTATTCTTCATGAGGTGTTTCTTCTTGAAATGTGTCTCCTGCCCATTTTCTTAATTTAGAGATTTCATATATTTGTGCTATTTGATTAGTTATCTCATTTGACGGTGTCTCTACTACCGCAGCATAGACCTCTTTATGCTGTATAATCATTTGGTATACTTCTTGTTGTATACTTGCTTGTGGATCCAATAGGTGCTCATGTTTGTCCATTCTTCTGCTGAATATCACTTCTGGCAGGCTGTTGTTTATGTATACTAATATGATTTCTTGTCCATACATTCTTAGTATATTATGATATTCATCGATTCTCTTGCCTTGCCCTGTAGCATACCAATGCTGCGTATCGAAGCATATACCTATTCGCTTCTTTAGTTCTTCTTTATCTTTATATCTTAACTCTTGACTTGTACTTTTACTATATCTATGAGGTCTGGAATAGTTGCACCAAAACAATTGTTGCTGGCTGAGTTTTCTAATAGTAGTCCGATATCCTATCAGTTCTTGTTTATTACGTGTAGTATTTCGATAATATTATCGATCACGTCTGATCATTTCTTTTCTCTAGCTAAGGTACCTATATGTATTACAGCCCATCTAATATTCATTTCTTGCGCTCTTGCAAGTTCTTGTAATATTTTATTTATTTTTCAATTTTTCTTACCATTGTGCCCATACAATGGTTAATTAATATACAAACCTAAGGTAATATGTAGTACTATTTTTAGCCCAATATTCTTATTGCCCATTATAATATTTTTGTCTTTTGTTTTGTCAGGTTTACTATTTTGTAATTCAGCATATCTTTTTTCTTGTTCATTTTTGAATTGTCCATCTAATTCTTTATATGTTAGGAAGATTTGAAGGATGTTAGAGTCTGTAGCTAAAGCAGTTCTTACTATTTCTGACTATCTGCCATCACAAGTGGTCCCTATTAATTTGATTCTTTGTTTATTTCTTTCTACTTGTTTCTTTAATAAGTTAAGTTGTTTATTGAATGAATAAGGTATTAATTCATTAATTAATTCTTTATATTTAGAATTATGATATTCTTGTTCTACCATTTATGGGTACTAGGCACCATTCTTGGTGTTAGTCCTTGGCGACTATTATGATTTGGCATTATTCCTAGTTGGTTGTGGTCCGTTTTAGATACCACGTTGGGTGCTATTCTTGGGTTTTTTTCTGTTTTTTGAGAGGTATCTCATTTTTTGAGATATTTGGCTAGCTTGGACTCGTGTAATCTCAAGGTTCAGAGGGGTACCCGAGAAACTAGGTCATTACGAATAGAAACTTGATCATAATGCCTAAACCTCTTTAGAATTCGATGGTTTTCATCAATGTCTTGGTAATTTATTGGTTTACCATGT